GCACTGCGCATCATATGTACTACAAGTTGTTACTTGCTGGGGAGTAATGAACAATAGAACTGTGGATTTCGAATACCCTGAGAAGGTGGCATTTCAGACAAAGACTGTTTGAGCAGCTTAGGGATTTATGAATTTTGTCTTCAATCTGCCCATACTTATGCTGAATTAACTGCCTATTTCTACTCCAATCTTTCAATTCTGTCACCAAATTGGATACAGTTTACTGTTGGTGACAAGAAGGTTGATTTAAAGGCACATGAGTTAGCAAGGATAATTGGAGCCACACACTCCACTTTTACTCCATTGGCAGTAAATCTTGAAGAGGCTTCTCAGGTAGCTTCTGAAAATCCGAATTTTGCTCAAGGATCAAAGCGACATCTCTCCTATTCTGACTTATCCAAACGATCTGTGATCTTGTATAAGATCATAATAAACTGTTTGAAGCCAAAGGATGCCTCAAAAACTGACCTATCAAAATCAGAGATCAAGCTCATTTGGGCTATCTTGACAGGTCAATCCTTTTCTCTTCCTCACCTCATCATATTCCATATGTACAGAGCATTACAGAAGGATAAGGGTCATCTGCCATATGGAGCTTTAATCTCTCGAATCTTCATGTTTCTCAATCTATCTATTCCTGGTGAGTTGCAAGAAACTATGCTTCCTCGTATGTTTGTTGGAGAACGAATGCTCTCCAAAATGAAGAAATTTGAAGATATAAGGGAAAAAGTAAAAGGAAAAGAGGCTGAAAAGTCAGAGGCAAAATCTGTTGGCAAGAAAGTTCAGAAAGAAAAGGAGCAAAGGAAAAGAACAAGTTCAGATAGCAAGCAGCCTGATTCTCCTACCCCCAATAAAAGTGTACAGCAAAAAGCGTAAAAGTCTTCTGCAAGATGAAAATGATGAAGCAGAAGCTGAACACTTTGAAACAGGAGGCTCAGAACATGTTCCTGAACCAGATCCCAACGTTTCAGAATCCATTCATGCAGAACATGTTTATGAAGATCCATCACCTGTTCAGGGGGAGATTCCGCTAGAATCAGCAACAGGGTACAATCAGTCTGAGGAAGATAATGTCCAAGGTCAGCCATCCGAAAATCAGAACATCTTGTCTATTATGCTTGAGATTAAAGACAAGCAAGCTGCTCTAGAACAACATATGCAGAATCTACAGAACATTGTTGAGGAAAACACCAAGGCTCAACAACTTCAGGCCGCAGTAGACAAAGCAGCATTAGAGGAAGCCATTAATATGTGCTCATCCAACATGGATAAGGCCATAAGTCAATGCAGTTCGAAAATTGAGGAGGCTGTCTCAATATTGGAAAATTTTCAACTGATTCGTACTCCTAAAAAATAGCATGTTTTTCAACATTTCTCTCCACCTTTTTCTTTCAATTGGTCTGTAATATATCTCTTATTTTTGTTCGACTGGTTGATTACTTAATCTCAGTGCATTATTCTATCTATTATTATACTTTTTGTTGATGACAAAAAGGGGGAGAAATTATGTGCAGATTTGCAGGTTATATTCAAAGGAAGAAAGACACAGATATCAACAGAGTTTGCTCTTTCAATCTGTGTTTCATGAGCTTAATAATCTGTGTTTCATGAGCTTAATATGTTTATTCATTTTCAAAATAATTCAAACTGCAAGAAAGTTTTGTCACCATCAAAAAGGGGAAGATTGTTGAGGAAAACTCCTATTGATTTTGAAGATGACAAAACCATCTATGTTATTGTAAATCTGATACTTATTCTGAACAATTTTATTCCAGGTCTGTATATTCTGGAAGCTCAGAAGAAAATTATTCAGACTTTACAATCTGTCAAGTATGGTTATGAAGACCCACATAATCGAAGTTCAAATTCGACTCGTGGTTATTCGGATGCAAATGCGAAGGAAGTTATTCGGATGCAAATGCGAGACGAAGAAATTATTCGAGATGCAGAAATTCTTCGACGGCAGACGCAAGTTCTTCGGATGCGACGCAAAATTTCTTCGCACGCAGCATTCGAACGTAACACAACAATAGTGATCCGGCATGGATTTCACGAAGGAATGTTCGATTGTCTCAATCCTAATCAAATTGATTGACAATCAAACATCACGATAGGAATGCACTACAGCGGACAAAACTCTACTTATGGAAACCAAGATTCTGATTGTATGGGCGACCGTAATCAGCGGGATTCGAATCCGTTATCCAACGGCTACTCAATCCTTTCTATACAAATCTGTCCAATGTGAAGATTGGAAGATGATCCTCTCAAAGCCGTCCAACGGCTAGTTTGGAAGTAGAGGAGTATTTAAGGAGATCAACGAGCAAGAAGGTAGTACGTAATCAAGAATCAACAAGTCCAAAGTCCGAGCATACTCCAATCATTTCTCTTGTCGTTCGAGCAAAACATTAAGATCTTGAGGGACACTTTGTAAGAGTGATTGTGTGAGATAGAGAGTCCTATCATACACAAGAGTGTTAATACTCGTAAGTTGTAATTCCTCTTGATTACATAGTGAAAATCCTAGTAGGCAGAAAGCGTGGGAAAGTGGACGTAGGCTTGCTATGTCGAACCACTATAAACTTGTGTGCAGATTCTCTATCCATTATCTCTTACTTTACATTCTCGCACATCAAGAGCAGACCGTCTATATAATCTGTCTTGAATCAATTTTATTCAGACTCTTCTGTGATTTATTTTATTTCCGCATAAATTATTAAAATTGTTTTAGATCACCTATTCACCCCCCTCTAGGTGATCCTTGCTAGCTACATCACTTAAAAGATCGTTCGATCTGCTAAAACATGGTTAACGACGATGGCCCTTAATTTTTTAACATAAGCTATAATGTTCCATCGCTGCCAGCCAGCAATTCTCACTGATGTCACCGAACTAGATTAATAATAATAATTCATTGACTTAGACCTTGACTTCAACGTCAACGTCCAGGAACGTAAAAATCCAAAAAACAAAAAATAAAAGAGAGAGAGAGAGAGAGGCAGGTTCCTATCAAGGAGGACGGAGATGACGACGTCGTCACCATCTCCATGTGTGAAAACGCGTACTTTCCTGGAGAGATCTCATGTTCCTCGCCCCTTCAGGCGCTTTTCTGGACCTTTCGCATTTTCGCGATTTTGAAGAGAAAAGCTCCTTTGCGCGAGCAAAAATGTCGAAGAACAGATAGCAGCCAGTGGTGGCGTTTTCGGAGACGGTGCAGAAAGAAAGTGATGTCCGCTTTGGTTCCTGTTCGGTCGTCCGTCTTTTAGTCCCCACCCACCCACCGACCCTCTCTCTCTCTCTCTCTCTCTCTCTCTCTCTCTCTCTCTCTCCCGTTGATTCTTCGATTGTCTTCGTGCTAAAAAGAATCGCGCAGGAGGGGATGATTAAACGGGACACGACATTTCGACACGCGAGACGCAACGTGAAATGCTCAATTTCAGCTCCTTTTTAGAGGGAAAATTATCAAGTTGGTCTGAAATCTATTGTGTGGATGTTGTTAACCTTTCGAATTTGTGCCAATGAATTCACAAAGCCTTGTGCGGGATTCCAATGCGGTCTTTCCAATCAGTTGCCGCCCGGGAATTGCCCGGTAGGACATCGTTCTAAGTGAATTGTCCATGTCGACATGCCACATAGGACAATCGGCCGGCAACGACTTATCGCGTTGAAAAGTTGAGGAAGGATTCGGGGATCATCCCCACGGTTAACGGTTTTCAATCCAGATATGTCATTATATTAGATGGAAGAGATACATGCATGCAAAATCGTGATACTTTCTGTAACACCTCGGGTCTATACTGTGTAATACTATCCGCTTTGGATTCATTGACCCTCACGACTTTAAAACGCATTACACAGTATAGGTCACCCAAGCGTTATCAACTAGTCCGGAACTTCCCCCTAGGCGATGCAGAACAAGAGAGGTACCCCACTTCCATGCGCATGTCCGGGGTAGTGGCGCGGATGCACTGTCATCCCTCCTCCCCACGTTCCACCGCTTGGCTTGAGCCGTCACACTTTCTGCAGGCAATGCTAGATAAAGAACACCGGATCACCGGGTCACGCAGTGCAATTCATCTTGTTAACCCTTGGCAACAGCAAAGCCTAAGGAAGGAGCATTTGGCAAGTATCTTCACGACATGTAATGACGAAAAGCTTGAACCCGTCGAGTCAACTGCGTGAACCGAGTCAGCAGTTGCCAACATTGAAGACTCCCTCTGCTTCAATGGTCCCCGAGTCGCGAGGGCCGACTCGACTGCGCCACTGGTTTCGATCGTCTAGACTCTGTTAATTTTCTGAGAAACCGCGTGGCTCTTTCCCTCAGCTCTTTTTTATATTGTCTTCACTTTCGTTCCCCAAATCGACCGGTCAATAATTTGTCCCTTTGTTCTACACACCGTGTCCTCCAAGAAACTTCTCCTTTCCCGCACTCCCTCATATGCGAGAGACTATATAAAGCAGCCCTTCCGTCAAACTACGATGCGCGCAGACACTCAGTTTTTACTTGCTCTGAGTGTCATCCGAGTGTTATTAGCTTCCAAATCCAAAGTTAGAGCAGACGCAATCTCAGTACTTGAAGCCCAAGAGACATGATGGTGAGATTTCTTCTTGTCCTTCGACAAGTTCTCTCTTTTTTTTTTTGGCATATATATGTGTATTTATGCATTTCTGCGAGATGGGGTTCTTGATGGTATTTTCTCCTGGGTTTTCTTGAACATTTCTCTTGGTAACTCTCTGCCTCAAGCTTCATGAGTTATCTTTTGTTTTACTTTGCCGTTGTAATTGTGAATCGTTTTTCATGAAGTGGAACTGTTCATGTGAATAAGAATGCAAGGAAGACCAAATGATGCGTCGAATTCTTATTCATTGGTGATTATATATGGCCAACTTGCTTAAACGCTAGTCTATCACAACACTCGTGAATTTTGAATTCGGTCATCGTAAGAGATTGATATTTATTCAAAATCTAACTGGGTTTTGATTTTCTCAAACTATTGCAGAAGTTGGTGGTGAAATTGGATCTACATGATGACAGAGACAGGAGCAAGGCCATGCGAGTAGTTTCTGGTTTTGGAGGTATTGGCTCTCTCTCTGTTTTTTCGCTCCATTCTCCCACCGAATGTTCAAATCGTCACTGTAATAGTAATCATCTTGGGCTTGAAATGTTCGGCTTTATCACTAACCTTTGTCAACTAAATCTTTCCAGGGATTGGGTCTCTGAATATGGACACGAAGGACAACAAACTAACTGTATCCGGCGAATTCGACCCGGTCAAGGTGGTGAACAAACTGAGGAAATCTTGGCACACAGATATTGTGAGTGTCGGACCGGCCAAGGAAGAAGGCGGCAAGAAAGACGAAGGCAAGAAAGATGAGGGCAAGAAAGACGAAGATCAAGTCGCCAATCTCGTAAAAGCCTATCAAGCATACTATTCTAGGCCACTTACACATCACTACGTGCCTTACGAAGAAACCCCAAATTGTGTCATATGTTAAAATTCTTTGTGCTGCCAGACCAAATCAGGGCTTGGTTTGTGCACTGCAGAGGATTGTTGATTATGCCTTATGAACACAAGAACAAGTGGAGTACCCTTTTTCGCATATTAGCTTTTTAGTGTCTTTCGGTTTTTGTATGTGGATAGGGTCCAATTGTAGAAAGATTGGTTTTCAGTTGAGGAACTCCAGGTATGGAAGAGCCATGATGTACTCCATTTCAGATCAAGGATTGTTGCCAGTGATTGGAATATGCAATGGGTGTCCTAAATTTTTTTGCTTGATATATTGAACAACCAGTATGTCTGTAGGCCATAGCAGAAGTCGCGGTTAGCTGATGAACGTACCTGGAATTCCTTTAGAGGCTTCTTGTCATAATTTAGCCTCACAATCTTGTGGAGGGTATTTTGTTGAATAATAAGATTCTCAAAAAAGAGTCAGTTCACATACTAAAATTGATCGATGCTTCTGTCATGTTGAATAAGTCTTTCCTGCTAGCAATCTTCACCCTGTTTATAGCTAAGCAAAGCTTACGTTGATCACAGCCAGGAAGACCATAATCTTAATACAGGTAACTTTAATGAATTTTGGTAGATACATATCCACTTCTTCGGTTGATGATCTAGATCCTAGTTACAAATTCATTCATGAAGAGGCTGTGTGAAAGAATGGCTCCAAGCTCACTATGGCCTGTCCAGAGAGCCGGTTAGCAAATCGTGTACTGAACTGGTTCAACACAAGATGCTGAATCCACATGATTTGATATCAGTAAGTAACAATATTTGGACATGAGCTGCGGACATGATGAGACGTATATTGCAGACTTACTATCAGTGAACCGTGCATGTTCAGAAAAGATTGGACTTTATTGCCCACTTAGGGAAAGTGTAATTAACATTCTATTCTCTTAGGCTCAACTTTACCATTTGATGCTACAGAAATGAAGAGCTGCAGATGTTTAATGGCATGTGACATCACACCCTTCACTTCTGCATAAGGAGAACCACAGTATGAGCTGCAATACTCTGGTTTTCTCTAAAGTAATCGACCTTCTTGTGATTTTTTTGCTTTAAGGTTAATAGCGGTTGGATCTGCTACGAGCAACTCACATAACTCACATAAGTTTTTCCTGATAGCTTCCTTGTATGGGCTGACTTTTGGTCGCTGGAGAATCAATGTGGCATCCAAGTTTCGAATCTCATAACCTTCCTCGTGCATGAGCCAAATCTGAGGGTACCGTCACACAAATGGACAAGGCTAAATTGCTAACCTTTACAAACTGAAAGCAAGGAGGTGGAATACACCGACTATACTAGCAGAAGCTGTAGAGCTGAGTGCTCGAATACACATGACACAGGTAATTATGGATAATAAATGAAATATCTGCTTTTAGCAGATTAGGGGCAACTATGAAGATTTACATCATCAACCCAGGACTGTGCATCACGCTTAAAGTTGCAATGCGACTAAGTAACCAAAAACTGCCACCACTGACCAGTGCCATTCCTATAACATTATAAAGCCATTAGCAGTGCAAGAACACATACTTTTAGGATCATCATCTGGCAAGTCCCTGTGTTCTTAAATCTTACTATCCCTACGACAGTTCGCTTGATAAGGAGAAGACGTATTTAAGAAACTCAAAGGTCAGCAGTTACATTTTGGCACAACATGGAAACAACATAGAGCCTCTTTATGTCATCATACAAGGATACTTGGAAAGGATACCAACTGAGAAGAGCAAGACCACACCATGCCAACAATAAGTATGACCTTCTAAAATACTCATACGTGGGGGGGAGGAGAGAATGTTATCAGTGAAACTATCTTGATCATCTTGACCTCTGATTCATGCCTCTGAAATGACCTAAGTACATAATCTTAGCTAGTATTCAGGTCAACCACCTCAAAGAGCCCAAAATATATTCGGACCTCATCTAAAGCGCATGATCATAAATCTACCTAAGCTTCATTGCTTCGTACACAACACATGACACTCAAGCAACAGACAATATATCTTTATTATTATTCAGGTCAACCACCACAAAGAGCAATTTGGGCTTCTGCTGCGCACTCATAACAATTGGTGTCAGAACCGATGGTTGATTGGTGGCCTACTCTCAATGTGTTTCGATGTTTGGCATGTATATCAAGGAAGGGTTTTTTATTAATGCGATTTCCAAGCAGCAGTGGTGGTTGTGGCATAACTATGCAGTTCTACTGGCAGCCTGGTCTAGAAAGAGAGATAGGAATGAAGGTGGGCGTTAAAGATTCAAATTGAGACATGTTAGTGAGGAAGGGGTAGAAAATGTCCCACATTGAAAACTTGGTGTGATATAGACTTGCTAATATATTTTAATTGTCTCATAATTTGTTCCACTTGTCGATGCTCCCAACAATTTTAGGAGAAGCAAATTAGAAGTGCCAAAAGTTTTTGTTAACTCATTTAAGTACCAAATCGGAAAAAAAAACGATTACTTGAATGCTTTCGGCGAAAAATTCTGACCAAAATTCTGATATAGCTTTTTTAATTAAATGATAATTCACATGTGGCTTTTTTATTAAAAAAAAAGTCCTAGGTCGCATTTTTTTTAATTCCCACTTAACAGCATGGATTTTTTTCTTCATTTATTCCTTTTTATTATTCAATTTCATCGCATTGAATGACGAAGAACCACAGCATTCTCAATCCTTCTCGCAAGCGTAAAAAGCCAGCACTCAGCGGCATCTCTCGGTCTTGGTCTCACTCGCCTTCCTCTACGAAGCAATCAACTTTTTTTGTCCTTGTTTCGTCGGAAATGTCCTCATGACGAAATATAATTCACCAAAAGTCATTCTTCGGCTCTTAATGAGAGGAGACTGAGTTCTAGATCTAATTCCGGACAGGAGCAATCCAGGCGTGAATAAGGAACTTGATTTGTATAGAAAATCCAGACCAATCCATCCAATTGCTGGTGGCGTCCGAAGTTTACACAGACCTGAGCAACTACAGCTAAGGAAACTGAAAGTGCGAACTGGAGAGTAAAGACTATAACTATGGAAGCTGAAAGTGCGAAACTTGGAAGTAAAGATAAAAGACAACATTTGTTTTGTTCATGTGTCGGGGGGTCCTTTATTGATAATCGGACGCTATTTATAGCACAGACTTGGTAACCGTTCTTGGTGTTGTATCCGGTCTCTACCGTTGATTTCATCTTTACCGTTCATGTAATGACACCTGTTTATCAACTGTTATTGATCTTATCTTCTGTATGAAATGATAATCGCTTTTGAGCCCATTTAGTCTCTGAAACGACAACCATCATCGAGCCCATTGGTTCTCTAAGGCAACAACCGTCATCGAACTTTTCTCCGTTTAACACCTGTCTTTCGGGATGACAACCGTCATCGAGCCTTTTCTCCGTTTGACACCTGTCTTTCGGGATGATAACTGTCATCGAGCCTTTCCTCCGTTTGACACCTGTTTCTTGGGATGATAACCGTCATCGAACCTCTCTTCCGTTTGATATCTGTCTCTTGGGATGATAACCATCATCGAACATTTTCTCCGTTTGACACCTGTCTCTCGGGATGATAACCGTCATCGAACCTCTCTTTCGTTTGACACATGTCTCTTGGGATGATAACCGTCATCGAACCTTTTCTCTGTTTGACACCTGCCTCTTAAGACAGTAACCATCATTAAACTTTCCTCCGTTTGACACCTGTCCACTGGAAATGAGGACCTTCGTCGAGCCTTTCTGACTTTAAAAGTCGTTCTTCCTTTTCATCGATTTCATCGATGAAAAGCACCTTTAGCACTTGGATATCTGTCTTTTCTGGAGCAAAGGCTTTCATCGAATCTTTTATAGCTTTTCTCCGTCCGGCACTTGTTCAACAGAGATAAGGACCTTCATCGAGCTTTTCTAACTTAACATCCATCATCTTTTCATCGATTTCATCGATGAGAAGCACTTTTAGCACTTGGACATCTGTCTTTTCTAGAGCAAAGGCTTTCATCGAATCTTTTATAGCTTTTCTCCGTCTTCTCCTTGTCGATATCTTCGACGAAAATACCTTCAGCATTTTTTATCCCCCTCTATCTGAATTTCAAATTTTCCGCTTATGACTGTCCGTACCTACCAGCTATCATTTTAGTACAGGTGATGTCATCTCTTGTCGTTTTATTCGTATATCCTCACGACGAAATCTCTAATTAATTTCAGGTGTCAACAGTCCTATAAAAAAAACTTTAACTTTAGGTCATGTCTCAATTCTACTCTAAATTTTTTTTTATCCTATGAAAAACAACCAACTTTAGATTTTGTCTCAATTTTACCATACAGTTTTAATTTTACCCTAAAATTTTTACAATTCCATAAAAAATCACAAACTTTTACTTGAATAACAAATCTGCCCCCATAAACCCTTCGTCCAAAATTTCTTGTTAATAACCGAGAGATAAAAAACTCTCGAGCATGAGCTGATCGAATATCCCGAACGCGAGCTCTCCGACTACGAAATATGGAACATTCCCAAGCACGAGAGATCGACAAGCGCAAAATCACTAAGGGCGATTGTGATGGAGGGTTAATAAAGAGCAAATTTAGGACTAATTAAAAGTTGGTGATCTTTTATGAGACAAAATAATTAAAGTGAAATTGAAATTGGACCTAAGCTGGGATTTTTTTATGAGATAAAAAAAAGTATATGGTAGAATTGGTACCGAACCTAAAGTTGAGGGTTTTTTATGAGACAAAAAAAATTTAGGGTATAATTGGATTGTACCTAAATTAGGGAGTTTTTTATGGGACAAAAAAAAGTTTAGGGTAGAATTTAGACGGGACCTAAAGTAGGAGGTTTATTATAAGATGAAAAATAAAATTGAGACGAGCAAAAATTGGAGATTTTTTAGGGTTTTAGGCCCGTTTCTAGTGTCCTGCCCAACAATTTTATGGCTATCTTCATGGCACATTATAAAGAAAAGATTGAACCAGTCAACTGAGGGTTGAGTCAGTTGCAAAAGCTTCAAAAGTCCCCAATTCTCAGTCGCGTCGTGAGGTACGACTCGACTGTTTTCGATCGTCATTATAAAGTCCAAAGCTGCAAACAGTACATCAAAAGTCTCTCTCCCTCTCATTTTAAAGTCGCAAGCCACTGTTTTCGATCGTCTCGACTCGTTAAGTTTCTGAGAAACCGTGTGGCTCTTTCCCTCAGCTCGTCATTTTATTGACTTTGATTTTCGTCTCCCGAATCTGCTGGTTCAAGAGCTTATCCCTTTTGTTCACGCACGGTGTCCTCCAAGAAACTTCCCAATTCACGCACTCCATGCTCGCCACAATATATGAAGCAACCCTTTTCGTCTACGATGCGTGCACACACTCAGTTTTTGCTTGCTCTGAGTGTCATTCGAGTGTTTTTAGCTTCCAAATTAAAAGTCAGAGCAGACACAATCTCAGTACTTCAAATCCTCGAG